CAGTGTTAGTGTCAAGGTAAAAATGCGGTTCACTGAAACAAAGTGGTACAAAGTGAGAGATCGGAGTATTCCCTGACTTTTCTCCCAGCCTTTTTCCCTGGTTCCACTACAATTATTTATGGAATAGTGATGGAGGCTTTTTGTTTTCTAAAAGATCCCACGCATGCATCAAGCAAATGAATATCAGTGTTCACAAGCATGTGAGCAACCTCATTGTATTGTTTTACTTTGACATTGACCCTTTCCTTCCTGCAACAGGTAGCAGGAGATCAAACACCAGAAAAGGTTCAGTAAGTTTAATACCAGAAACTTCAGCTGCTTTTCATCATGAGTTGCCGGCACTGCTGGGCTTGCCTCCGCTAGCAAACTTGTAATATAAAAACGGTATCAGTATCTGGGCTCTGCCAGTGCCCAAGATATCCCAGGTTCCGTCTCACTGCTTTACGGCATCATTAGAGCCACTAAGTTGAAGTATTATCTCGTAATTCATTGCCAGACATCTATTGTCCTGTAGTTACTCTGTCTGGAAATTACATGGTAATTTCTATAAATTTATATTACCTGGCTTTAGTGGCTCATGAAGCTGTACATTCCAAGTCATCGAACAATATGGTAATTATATGGCATCAAACGATAGTGTTGAATATGTTAGCTCTTGTTTATCTTGTTAAGAAGGAGAGGCAGATTACATCAAACCTAGTCATAGGAAAGTAAACTGGTATCTTTCATAATGTCTCCAGACTCATATACAAAGATTTTTTTTTAATTTTCGGTTTCAGTACTTCAGAATTATGAGCCCAGCATTTGTCTAGGTAATCGTCAACCTGAAAGTTAATGTGAGCTAATTATAATGAGCAAACTCAGAGTGACACAGCAAAGAAAAAGAATCATTTTGGTGCTGTGTTTTGCGGCTGTACTGCAAGTATCTATTATGCCTTACACAAAAAAANTCTAATAGCTGTTTCAAGGTCGATAAAGTTGCATATTAAAAAAAATTGTATTTCTCATGATAGATTTTAGCCATGATAGTCATAAAAAGAAAATTCTTGTATTGTGTGCTTGTAGCCTGAGGCAAGCCCAATATTTCACAAGGCATGAAAGCCAAGTGGGAGTCGGCAGTCAGCAGACTCCTCACAGTTGGGATAATACTCTTGTAATGACTGAGCAAGGCATTTTTCCCTCAGTATCACTGATTACTTAATCGCTTTTACGTCAGTTGTTTAAGTTAATGTAAGACAAATGAGCATTTTATGGTAATGCGATATACCCGTGTCTGTGGATGATGGCAAATAAAGTTCAAACGGGCTAAAGATCTCATAATTTGTTCTTGTACAAGAAAGATGAGAAAAAAAGAATCTTGGGGAAAAATAAATTGAGTTAAGAAACGGAATTTCGGAACTGAAATGTTATATATTTGGTTTCAAATATTCAGTAGGTTTGTTCTGCAAAGATTTTCATTGTGATATGAATTCTAGCAAAGCATCAGGATATCTTTTCCCTCAGGCGAACTAAGAAAATCCCACTTTTGTGCCTTTGTTCTGCTTGTTTCTCTCCTTTGTTAGTGTTTTATCAAAGTGCACTGAATAAACTAAGTCTTGATTTTATACTGCGTGCTACTATTACATTTTAATTTGTTCATAGTTCCAATCAGATTACATTTTTCTACAATACAAGACATAACAGGATGAGGCCATTAGTTACTACCCAGCGCAGATATCTCATCAGTTTGTCTCTGGTGACTGTGGTTCCTGGAAGTACAGAACGACTTGGGAGAGAGTGCAATGGGATGCCAGTGGGCAAGTCTGAGAATTCCCGGAGGTTAATACATCATAATAATAATACTTGCATTTGATATAGCATTTATCACGTCTTCGAGATGTCTCAAAGCGCTTCACAGAATATACTGTAAAGTGAATTGACTGTCATGGATTGAGTGACCAATTTTTTTTTGAAGGATTTATTAGCCCCGGAAAAACGATCTGCCAATCGACTAACAACAGAGGTCTGTGGAGTAAGGAAACTTGCCCAATATTTCACCCTGTGCTATACATATGCGAGCACCTCCAGTCCAGCCACTGGAAGCAAACAGCCCATACAGTTTAGTAGGTAAATAATAATCTATGCATTAAATATAATCAGGAGAGTGTCTCAAAGCACTTCAAGGAAGTGCTGTAAAGTGTAATGACGGTTTGGGAGGGGAGTGAATCAGCAAGAGTTCCCACGATACCTAGTAATCCTGATGAAAACTCTGTGCGTGTACAGAGAGAGGATGAGAACAGGATGGGGCTCAGCTGTAATCCTTTCTCATCCATAATTATTGAATAGCCTTTCAGCACTTACTGAACAGTGGCAATCCGCAGTGCCAGAGGATTCCAGCACTTCTGAAACTGTACCACACTAGTCATCATCTTAATAAGAAGAGAGGTACAGGGTATGTGAGAGTGTTACTGGAGTCCTGTAGTTCAGTGGTTAGAGCACTCGCTTTGCAAGTGAGAGACCTGAGTTCAATTCCAGGCAGAGGGCGAAACCTTGGGCAAGTTTCCTTACTCCACACAGAGCCTAATAATAATCCCTCCAAAACCAAAACAATAATAAATTGGTCATTTTCAATCTACGACTGTTTGTGGGACATTGCTGTGCGCAATTTGCTGCCGCGTTCGCCCACAAATATACAGTCAATTCACTTTACAGTGTGTTCTGTGAAGCTCTTTGGGACGTCCTCCCGACGTGAAAAGCGCTATATTAAATGCAAGGATTATTATTATTATTATTATTATTACAGTGAGAGGTGTGGGACACATCAATAGTGTGTGTTGCAGGAGGATCCAGTGTGTATCATAAAAACATAAAAGAGACTCTTCCAGCACGCGTACATTTGTTTACTCTTCTCCAATACATTTACGCTGGTAGATTTCTCCTCTGAGAAGTAAGTCACCAGTGGAGAAACTCCCTCAAAAAAAGGTCAAACAACCCAGAACAATAGTTTAGGAATCACCAAGACAGTAGAGCAAGAAGACATAGGTTTAGAGTCGCAAAGAGCAGTTTCAGGACCAGTACCAGGATGTTTTTCTTTAGTAGGTAATTAACAACTGGAACAAGTTACGAGGAAGAGTAGTTAAGATCAGGACACTGGAGTAATTTAAAAAGCAGCTTGATACTGTGGTGGGAGAGCAGTAGAGTGGGTATTCTGGAGGGATGGGCCTTCTTCATCCGAAATTATCTTGTGATCTTTCCCTGAACTCCCCCTCTCTTTCCTTAATAGTTGACTGAGAGCTCTACATTAACCTCAAATATTAGTCTTTCATTGCCTTGGCCTATTGAGTTCTTTGAAGTATTTGATCACCTTTATCAGTACTTACCCCCAATAACCTTTAACCTCATCTTCAACCAGATGTTCCAACCATTCCCTTATGAAAGGAGTTAGGCGACATACGACAAAACGTTTAACAAGTACCAGGGAGTTTGCTGTGCCTATCTGCTGCTCTGCAGAATTGTACTCTTCCAATTTCCAGCCTTGCTTGAGGCTAGTCATGTTTTGTACTCTGCCCTGTTCTGGTATCAGGGTTTCAATTAAATGAGTTGGTCACATGAACATTATCCATGCCTTTCAACATCTGACATCTAGATCATTTCTATCTGTCCCCTAAATTGTTGCTACAGTGAGAAAAGATTGAATATAATCTGGCCTATACTCCTGGTTTAGGATAATCCTTCCTCTTCCGAGATTCAGAAAACTTATTTTGACTTATAATCAAATGCATTAACCTCTTGGAGGTGAGGGAGAGTTCAAAAGGAGTTTTGCTGAGAGAGAGAGAGAGCGAGAGAGATCAATACAAGGAACAAAAAGCTTAGGATTCAATCTTTATTTGAAATGATGTTTTAGTGGAATTTATGAACGTTTCTGAGCCTTGCGGAGCCTCTCTCGCCTTCTCGAGTCTCATTTAGAGTCATCCATTGAGAAAGAGAGGAAGAGAAATACCCTTTGGCGGGTCACTTTTCTTGTTTAGGCCCAGGGTTTCACTGGATCTGCCTTGGAGGCCAGCAAAATAGTACTACAGCCATTCTGTACTGCATGATTCTTTGCTCAAGTGAATAATACATACATAGGTTCAACATTCTCAGGAAGGGGCCTTTGGATCAACGCAGTGCCGTGCTGTATCTTATGGGCCATCTGAGTCTTAGCAATGAGCTGAAGCCTTGTGGTACATCTCATTGCCAAGCTGACTTATGTTAGTTACTGCTCTGTAGCAAGAACACACATTTGCAAATTAATTTTATGTATAATTTAAAAAGCTGAACTGAATTATTAATGAAATAGACCGCTCTAAGAAATAGACCGCATGTTTCTCTCTCTCTCTCTCTCATGGCTGTGTAAGGAACCACTATTAAATGAGCTTCAACAATATTAACCCAGTTCCTAATAGACATGGACCTACAGCACAAAACTGACCATCTTTCCAGAATATTAATTCCACTGTTATCCCATTCCAGCATCAAGCTGTTTCTTAAATGAATCCAGTGTTTTGGCCTCAACTGCCCCTGCCAGTATTCCGCTTGATTCCCCTCTGTGTACAGATATACTTCTGAAATAAATGTCCAGCTAGGACCACACTTTAGCATGTAAAGAGGAAGGAGAATGAAAGTAACCTGCAAAGGTTACTCGTATGCTGAATTGCTTTTTCCCATGAAGAAGTGAACATCTTTCTCACTCTAGGGACTGCTTTCTCTTCTTCCCCCACTGACTGATCCAGACAAAATTGTATTTGCAATTCTGCCCATCAACAGCGCCTGTATTTAAGATGTGATTAAGTGGCTATAATTGCCATACGGGAGTGCAGCTGGGTGTCACCGAGGACAGACTGATTTAAGTGAGTCAACGTGTACTTCTGTTCCAACCTGCCACACTCCCACTTACCACTTGTGCATTATTGCTCAATTAACAAAAGCCATGTAAATAGTGCAAATCAGTGTTCTAACGGCTACAACCTCCTCTTAAACAGGAAATCCCATCTCCAATTATGCAAACTACTACCGAGGCCTGTGGGATTGCGCTAGCGAGGGGTCAGACGAGCTGTCGTTTCAGCGGGGAGACATGATCCACATCCTGAGCAAGGTAAGACACCAATTGTTTATCGTAATGAGGAATAAACACAAGCAACTTCTTTGGAACTTGACCTGTCTCTTCAATTCCTCTCAGTCCCTTCTGTTATAATGAAGTGCCCAATGTGATATATATACACCGGATGCTCAATCCACCCATCGCATCCACAACTCACAGTCTCCTTTTATATTCTTGTTCTATCCAACCTTCAGTTGAGGTCAAACAGAGAGGGCAGGTGATCTGGCATCATCACCCAGAGCATGCTGCTTTGATATTGGTCATTTCAAAGGGTACAAAGAAATGTTCACCCAGATGTTCAGCTGGTACTCTTCCCCCTCCCTGCTCTTCTCCCCACCCCTCATCCCCTCTCCTCCCTCTCTCCTCCCTCCCTCTCCTCCCTGCCCTCCTTCCCCTTCTCTTCCCCCTTCTCTCCCCGCCCTCCTCTCCCCCTCTCCTCCCCCTCTTCCTCACCTCTCTTGCCTCTAATACTACTAATGTTTGCCATTATATAGTTTGTTGTTTCAATCAAAGCAGCAAACAAACATAGGAATGTATCAAGAAAGCACACAACTTTGTAGGTTTACACCAATCTATCATTATCACAAAAGAGTAATACTTCAATTTTTTTTAGCAATTTTGTCTATCACTAGAGGACTGCCATGAATGTGAGTCAAGAATTCCAGAGTCAAGTTCCCAATTAGAAATTGGATCAGCGAATGTTAAGGTCTAAAGTGTTTTGAAACAGGATTGCATTGTTTTTTACACAGACAATAATTAATGAATGGAATAGGTTAATAGAAAAGGAGACTGAGGCCAAAACACTGGACTCATTAAAGATCTATTTGTTGCTGTGATGCGAAGAATGTAAACTGAGTATTCTGGAAGGATGTGATCAAATGGTCTGAAGGGTCTTTACCATATTGATCCTGTGGTCATGAATCTGCAACTTTGCTTGGGTGGGTGGCGTCAACAACAACAATTTGCACTTATACAGCGCCCTCCGCACAGGATAGCGCCTCAGAGCGCTTTGGTTCTGGATCAGAAGGTCCACATATCCCAATGTCCCTTTCCTGTAACTAATATACAGCACTTAAATAAATCCAGAACTTGCTGGAAATCCCACGGCCAGTCAGTAGCTCTGGGACACTACCCTGCGTGAGGGGTGCTGTATAAATGCAAGTTGTTGCTGTCGTGTCTGAAAGAGGTTCCCGTTCGAGTTGGAATCCTTTATTGGATGAAGCATCACGATTAGTCTGCCCTTCACTTTCGGGCGCTGATTTTTCTGCTGTGAAGTTCTATCGCGTTCTGTGTTTATTTTATACTTATAGGTTTTCATTTTATCCACATTTCACACCATTTTAACTTTCTGTTGGTTTCATTGCATTTGCTGTGTTTCTCCATCCCCAGTGCTCCGTGTGGCTATGAGTGGCACTGTGCTCCATTCTGACGATTCACAGGCAGCACAACGTAGGGTTAATGATTCCGATGTTGCTGTCAGACGTTCAGCAAGAAATAATTGCAATTGATTACAGAGAAATTCTCTATTCTTATATATAATATAAGTAAATGGGGCCAATGAGGAAATGATTTAAGGATCTGGGCGTCTGGTAAATTATGTTCCGACAACATTCAGCATTAGAGAGAGAAAATTATTCTTTCTCCCATTTTGCTTTGCTGTAGCTGTAGTTCCAGTCCCAACGCCCGTGAATAATTACTTGGTTACCGGCTGGGATATTACTGTTTCCAGGCGATTATTCACTGGTTCAACTCCAGGTCACCTGTGCCGCACAAAGGCTTGAATTGATTGGCCTATTAGCCAGTGACAGAACAGCGGTGAAAGAGATACACCATCATGATGGGTGACTGTTAAGAAGTGCCATGTTTTTAACCCGTGCAGGAGACTGACACCTCAATGGATCTTGTGCTCTTCGTACATGGTAAACAAGCCACTTATTTCCACTCTCTAATCATGATGCATTAAGAGCTCTCAAACTCTGTCCTTGAGAGATGTACAGAGAGGCTGTGAGGGTAAGAAGGTTTCCCCATCTCAAATTTCCTCCCCTCCCTTTCTGAAAGGCCGCGGCCCGTGCTGGGATACAGCTTTGCAGCAAGTGGAAACCTACTGGGATCTCCATTCTGACAGAGCCTGTCAGCGCGGGCACATCACAGCTGATTCCTACATTATCCTCAGCGAGGGTTCATACATTCGCACTGTCCAGTAGACAGGACAGCATTCGAGAGTGAGAACCTAATTTCTTTCTTTCTAAGCCCAAGAGCACCGAGGATTTAACCTGTAACCTGTGTTTTGTATGGCTCAGTTTCATATTGGGCAGTGATGTTGCTGACTGAATAGAGTATATATTCACGCTGAGACTATAATGACATTGCCCTGCTATCACTTTTCTCTTCACCTTTACATACTGATTCATAGAGAAGTCAACTGGACTTGTGCTGCGGACTGCTAGCCAGTGGCCCCTGCTGGAAAGTGTGTGCCATCGCTTCCTCTGTTCCTCCTTGGAGAATGACCAAGGTGAGGTATCAAAGATGGCTGATACCTGTGATGCTGTACCCATCCCACTCTCATTGACTAGAGGAGACGAGAAAATCGAAGGCTAAGAAAGAAAGCACTGTGTACAACCACGAATGATCTAATTCTCGATCTTATGAGTGTTTTTTATCGCAAAACTTATAGGAATATAATTCAATTTCTTGCTACGTGGATGTGATTTTCCCACTGCTCCCTATCTCAGGCAAGTCAAGCAAAAGCTTTGGGAGGCAAGTCACCGGTCTGTTTTTCGTCATGGCGAGCCCAGGGTCTGGTCACCTGTCCAGGAATTGTCAGAGCAGTTTGTGCTCTAGTCAAAAGTAATCCGAGGAGAGGATAAAGAAAAAGATCAGCGAATGACACTGTCTTACTCTTTTTGCTGGGTCATTATGTGTCTAAATCGATCGTACCTGACAGGATGTTTCTGTAAAACAAAAAAGTCCTACTAATCTGTGGCCTTTTGAATAGCAGAGGTTTTTGAAGCTTTTGTAGCACTAATGAGGCGAGCCAGAAAGGGAGAGGGGGCAGGGTGACTTGTAGCATTACAGTAACTCAGCCTGCATTGGTTGCTTTACACACAATAAGATATAATCGATAGACCCAGGAAATCCATTCTTTGCCACACAATCCCAAAGCAATTTGAGGACATGTAAACCGAGAATTAAGTGGCCACCGCAATTCTACTTTGGATTCTTGGAAGTACGGATCAGTTGCGAAAAATAGTAATAATCCTGACATCTGATATAGCGCCTTATCGTGTCCTCGAGACACCTCAACACGCTTCATAGAATTTACTGTAAAGGGAATTGGCTTTATATTTTGTGGGAGAAAATAATTAATTCATTAATTTATATTGGTTAAGTTCTGAATGTCCAGGCTACCCACTGTGAACATCTTGCTACAACACAGTTGCACTCACGGCATCAAGCTCTTTTTAAATATATTAACCAGCCTTCGTGATAAACAATTCCAGCCATTGATTATCCTCTGTGTGAAGAGATACTTCCTGGTGTCTGTTCTGAAATTACACATCATAATTTATGCCCTCTTCCCCTTTAGTTTAGGCGTATCTGGAAGCATTATTCTAGATTTACTTTCTCAATCCCATCTAGTATCTTATTTTCCTGTTTGAAGTCCCTTCTGAGATGCTTATTTTCAAGACTGAAAATAGCTTAACTAGTTGTTCCTCATATCTCAGCCCTCTCAAATTGGGGGGGTCATCCTCATTGCTCTCTTCTGCATTACCAGTAGGTAGTTATGTCAGAGTCCCCAGAAGTATTCAGTACTTCGGGTGTTACTGATCAGAGAACACTGTATCGGCTAACCATGACTTCAGGTGATCTAGACTCAACTGATTCAGCAAATAGCCCAATATCCTGTTGTTTGCTCCGTCACACTCTTTTGATATGGCGAATGAAAGGTCAACTAATATCCTTGAGTCTTTTTCAACTTAATTTGCTCATGATCAGCCATGGTATGTACTGAATGAGCTTCCTTTGTAAGATGATTTGTAAGATTCTGTACGGCTGAACTTCCACACCACACGAGCGCTATCGGATTATTGGTGAAGCCACACTTGCCAGCAGAGGGTAATAATAATAATAATAATAATCCTTGCATTTGATATAGCGCTTTTCACGTCAGGAGGACGTCCCAAAGCGCTTCACAGAACATACTGTAAAGTGAATTGACTGTATATTTGTGGGCGAACGCGGCAGCCAATTGCGCACAGCAATGTCCCACAAACAGTCGTAGATTGAAAATGATTCATTTATTATTGTTTTTGGTTTTGGAGGGATTATTATTAGGCTCTGTGTGGAGTAAGGAAACTTGCCCAAGGTTTGGCCCTCTGCCTGGAATTGAACTCAGGTCTCTCACTTGCAAAGCGAGTGCTCTAACCACTGAGCTACAGGACTCCACAAATTATAGGGTACTATAATGGGATTGCCGTATACTAATCTATGTCCATCTCTTATCATTGATGCCCAGTGACATCAGTTTGTAATGTGGGATGTTGTCAAAGGCCTTTTCAAAGTTTAGGTACACTACATTATGTGATTTCTAATGGTCACCTCAACAACAAAAATAACCTCTAACCTTGCACCTTCTCGCTTGCTTCCTTGGTATATCTGAAAGTATTGCTTCTGGTTTGTATTATCTCTATCAGGTTCCCTCTGAGATATTGCTCTTCTTATTCTGTGACAATGAAGCATCAATATACAATACGCAGGCATGTTCTCTCACCACAAACACACATATATGTACATTTATAATTTAAAATAATACATTGGTCACTCAATCCACGACTGTTTGTGGGACACTATTGTGTGCAATTGGCTGCTGTGTTTTACCATTAAATATACAGTCAGTTCATAGAATCATAGAATATTACAGCAGAGAGGAGGCCATTTGGCCCATTGTGCCTTTGGAAGAGCTACTCACTCCCCCACTCTTTCCCCATACGCCT